AAAATTAGAATATCATGGAAACATTCATTTATTTCTGTAATTCCATTCAAAACGTTAAACTTTCATAGATTATAGATTCAGGGCCCACAACTTAAATGATTTTAAGTACTTGGTTGTTTATTGGTACATAATTTGGGCTTCCAGGTCATAAAACCCACAAAAACAGAATTTCAAAAAATTCCGTTGAGTTTGCTGGCCAGTCAAGCACTGTGATGGCATGGCCATCAAACCAGGCTTTGGTGCTTCTGGTGTTATGGGCAGGGGCCAGGTCCTGCTGGAAGATAAAATCTGCATCTCCATACAGATCCTCAGCAGAAAGAATCATGAAGTCATCTAAAACACTCTGGTAGACTGTTGTGGTGACCTTGGATTTAAGAAAGCAGAGTTTACCAACACCTGCACCGGACATTAAACCCCAAATCAAGACTGACTGTGGATATTTCACACTGGACCTCAAGCAGCTTGGGTTGTAATCCTCACCCGTCTTCCTCCAAACCCTTGGACCTTGATTCCCGAATGAAAAGCACACTTTACTTTACCCGAGGACCCCAACAGTTGTAGCCCATCTCCTGCATGCGTCTGAATTTGGTGGTTTTCGAAGCTGTGACTCCTGCCTCATTCCCCTCTCTCTGGATCTCTGCCAGATGAATCTTCTCTGTTTGAATTAAAACATCCATGCCCTGTAAAATTTGGGTTGATGTCTTCACAGTGTTCTAGTTTTTTGAATTCCTGTTTTCGTGGGTTTTGTAAGCTGGAAGCCCAAATCATGTACAAATAAACAACTAAGTACTTGAAATTGTTTGAGTTGTGGGCCCTGAATCTATAATCTATGAAAGTTTAACATTTTGAATGGAATTAGAGAAATAAATCAACTTTTCCATGATACTCTAACTTTTTGGAAAGGGTCTATATTTGATCCAATGTCATGCTGAAAAATGGAGTCTTGTTCCAGATAGATCTAATGGCACTTTTCTCCTTTCATAATTCCATCAGTTTTGATGAGATCCCCAATACCACTGGCTAAAGGGTTTTAGGCCTCCCAATTTTTCTTTTGTTATTTACTTTTCTTGACTATTTCAAAATATGCTGCACATGAGCCGAGATACGCCAGGTTAACTCACCATGTTGTGTAAAACTTATTTTATGCCTATTAAACTGTGTTACATTTAGCATTTTTATAGATTCAATTTGAGAAAATGGAACCAAGTTATGTATTTTGTGGCAGGGTTCTAGTAAAAAAGTGCAGTAAATTATAATTTGGTTCTTTGTTGTTTATATGTAGGCACAACACTGGTTTGTTCCACCAGTTAAGAGCCTTTTTTATATTTGTGTGATTCATATGTCAGCATCACGTGGATTAACAAAGCAGATAACATTTCT